AGACTACATGTTGTTAAACGTTTGCCGCTGAGCTTCTTTCCACCCTGCTGGAGGACGTGTTCAACATATCCTTGGTCACCTCTCCGGGTGACTCCTCTGCTGAAATCTCCTCACCAGCAAGGATGCCCCAAGCGGACAGTCGTCCGGAATGGTGGGCACATCTAACCGGACGAACTCCCCAATTCAAGAAATTAAATGGCTTTAAAAGAAGTCATCGATTCTGTGTTTCATCCAAGCGCGCCTCGAACTCTTCGACGCCCTTCTCCAAGTCATCCTCCAAGTCATCCTCCGCTGAAATGGCGAAGCTGCTGGCTGTCTCCTGCACGTGCACGGCCCATCAATGGTCCACCCATTTAGGTGCCCTGCTGGGTAAAGGCTGCCGCGGCGCGCAGCTCCTGGTTGCCTGTGGCTCCCTTGTAGGGCTGACACGTTTTGGTGGCTCCATAGTATTCCGCCTTGAACCTCATGCGCACGATGCAAAATAGAAGGTTGAGTGACACAGTCACAACAGGTTGACTGAAGCAAATGGCAGGGCGGCACTGTGAAATGCCAAACAGTTTAACACATCCAAACCCCCAAACAACTCCGGCAGAGGGCTTGCAGGTTTCTCAGCTTTCTCCCCTCTGTTTTCGACGTTCGCTCCAGACTCGACCGCAGAACAGTAGTGGGGCCCTGCTCCGCTGAGAAGCTTTTTACGGCCAGGCGTGGAGGGCCCGGCACAGCACAACTGCCTCCGCTTGGTTTGATCCGGGTCCTTGGGAAGTGGGATGGCGGTGGGTTGATGCCACGCTCCGGTTGGGTGACAAAGAAGCAGAACCATCCGGGTCCTTGGGGTATCCTATCGACAGCTCTGCATTGGGAGCTGAACCAGATTCATTGAAATGAAACGGAAGTTGGGCAAAAGTATGTGAGTGTGAGAAGGTGGCCACAGAATATATACACGTTCACCCTATCTATACACCTGATGAAGTCAGAATGTAGAGTCTGACTCACTACTATAACATGGAAGTGGGAAAATTGCCCCTTGGAAGACTACTTTCCTCTAGAACCAGCAGGAGTTTTTGGAGTCAGAATGTATGTCTCACACGGAAAGGCTACGGCTACTGTAACTGCACGTCTCTCGCGCCACGCTCGCTGTTCTCGCACCCAGCTTCGCTGTCATCGTCCAGCGTTCCAGCGGCAGTGCAGTCCATCACATCCATCTGAAGTTTAATCGGGTCTTTGCTCGTCTGCTTCCACTGATACATCTCAGCACTCCTCGGGGTCTGCCACCGGGTTTTTTTCTTTGTGTGTGTTCCTTTTTTTTGTTGGTTCTCTCTCTCTCTCTCTCTCCCTCTCCTTCCGTGCCATGGGGCATACGGTGTTTGGTAGGTGTATGTGAGCGTATCTTGTGTTCTATCTTCTTACAGTGACACGACTAGATCACTCCCGCTTGTGCCCCCCTTCGTCCGAACGTCGAGACTCCTGACCCTCGGGCCTTTGCATGTGTCGTTTGGGGACTCCCGGCTGGATCAGCGGAGGCTCCAGCTGAATTTCACCGCCTTCTCCACGCCATTCACCATGGGTGCCAATGCACTTAACCCAAAGCCATCCTGGCGTGCCAGTCACGGGGAAAGCAAAGGCCAAACAGCAGGAGGCAGGAAGCGCTTAAACAATGCGAAAGAACCTTCTGCAGGTTGGAGAGGGTCTTCATGTTCTCGAAGTCACAAGCCAGGAACACCTTGCAGTCTCAGCCAGGAGCATAGCTTGAGTGATTGTTGAACCATCGACAACTGACAACACACCTTTGCTAGCGGCCAAGTCACCAGCTGCTGCTCTTTCAATGTGTCCAACTTGCAGTTTGCACACCTCTCCATCTCAACCAAACAGAGACAAAGAGCTTGCAAACATGACTCGGATGTGCACCCAGACTGAAATCTTCGCAGCTTTCCCCACGAGTCCATTCACGGGGCACTCGAAACCGAGCAAAAACCGCCCAAACTCCAGAGTCCGTTGGAAAGGTTTGACTTCGTCCTGGCCAGACCTCTAGCCAACCTTCGCTCAACAAAGTTGGATGGATCAAGGAAGTTTCTGGCCCAAAAAAAGCGATTCCAACGGAAGGATTTCTCATGGTCCCCCGTCCCCGTCGCCCAAAAACTGCTGCGCGGTGCGTCTCCACCGTGGACACGTCTCGTGGCGATCGCTGAGGCGACCAACGAGCCAGCGTCATTGTAGGGACATGGCTCTACAGCCGTCTTCCCCGCAGCATCCAGGGCCTGTGGTCGGTGTTTGTTGGGCTCACCAACCACAGCAGACCAAGTGAAGCATGGGTTTTCTATAGACTGAGCTGACTGACTGACCAACTAACTGACTGAAACAAGTCGGGAATGAGGAAGGGAAGAACTAAGAACCACCTTTTTGGTCCTTGGGGATCGGGTCCAAACCCTGTAGCAAAAGACCTGCCCCAGACAGGTTTAACTGGTCGGCCCCCCGATTTGGACCCACCGCCGGGTGGGTCTATTGGTCGGAAAGGGGAGCACGGTCCCGCTGCGTCCTCTCGCACCGGATCCAGCGTCCCAGCCGGAGGCAGTGTGGGGCTGGGCAGCCACACCCTCATAGTCTTCACATAGTCACCTTCTGTGTTCCAAATGACCTCCACAAATGGTTCAAAGCTGAAGGCTGACGCGTCTGGGTTTTTCTCAGCCGCAGCCCAGTCGCATAAGGAGCAATGATGATGAGCAAGATCCCCATACAAATCGAGCAACATGGGTTGCAATGACCTGCAGAATTGCGGTGCGAAATGTCTCCTGACAGCATCACATCCACTAATCGGTGGCTGGCCGCCTCCTCCTTCATGATCGCTCTCATGATTTCCCGTCACCTGGTGGAGTCTAGCCAGGCCATCCAAGTTGCAAAAATGATCCAAGGCAAGTCATGAACGGGTCACGGACTTCCGGGGCCTGGTCGGTGATGAAGTTGAGCATGACTATAACGGTCAAGACTCTTGAAGACTAAACGGATCAAACATCGGGCCAAGGACAGCTGCGCCATCAACATGCAAAAGTCTACATGATACATGTTTGACATGCCCCAACTCTTCGTGCCTGCAGGCATCCCTTTGAAAAAATACATCCAGATTCGTGTCGGCCCAACGAAAAATGTCGTCATCCCTTACAGCTGGCTTCAGCCGCTTTCAAGCGCGCCCACCGGGGCCATGGGAGGCAGCGCTGAACGCGTGAGAAGGCGGATTCCTTGATGCCCTTGCTGAACACTGAGAGTTGCGCACGACAGAGCGTCCCAGGCCTGAGTGGCTGGGAGGTCGGGCCAAACGGAACACGGTCAGAGGCTGGACCCTTGGCCTCAGGCCTCCTTTGCTGAAAAAGGGTGAGGCATCTAACAACCAAAAATGGTCGGCACCAAACAAAACGAATCAAAAAATAACAGGATCCAAAAAACTATTCCCAGTGCACTTTCCTGGCAGGCACGGCATTTTGATGCATTTTGTGAACCCTTAATGTGCAGATGTTGTGGCAGGCGCGGCACTTTGTGATGTTCAAGGTGCAGATTATTGGTGTTAAGCTAAATGTTTGGTGCATGTGTGCTCTCGTGTGAATGGGCTGTCATGTGTGTGCTCTGATATCGTGCTCTCATGTGAGTGCTGACATGAAAAAGAATGACACGAAACAAGTAAAGGCAGAGGCAACATAAAAGCAGACTTGAAGAGGAATTGCTCCTTTTTGCAGGGCATACAGTGGGCCGACCTTTAAAGAGCGGTTTTTTTTTGGCAGGCGCGATGCTTTGGAAGAAGTATTGCAGTTTTGTTGCTGGAGGAGGGTTGGGGGAAGGGGGCAAGCTAAGTTGTGGTTGCAAGATGGTGCCAAATCGCAGTCCAAAAGGCTTGCAAAATATGCGTGGATGCGTGTGGTACTCACAATATTCCCGAAAAAGGTTTTTTCGCAGCGCTTTTCGCAGAATGCGCGAAACACCCCAAGATGCGCAGGTGATACACTCCAATCGAAGGAGCATGAAACCGAGAAGCTAATATGAAGACCACGGGACCCTCCGGTCTCCGGCGGACCAGGAGACCAGGCAACCAGCAGAGTAGAGGATGTATTTTGTTGTTTTGATCCGGTTCTCTTTTCTTTTGATCTCCATGCCCTGAACTCGCTGAACGTCGCCATAAAACCTGAGGATCCGGGCTCATCAGATTCGATGAAAAAGTCTGGAGGAGGAACCCCTGGAACATCCCATGATAGTCCTGGGTGCCACCATCCAGGTTGGCAGGGCAAGCTGCCAACAGACTGGGGTACTGTAGCAGTTGGCAGGGAAAGCAAGAGAAGCCAACAAAAGGTGGAGTTCCATCTTGTTGCACGGAAAATCAAGAGAAACCTGCTACAGTAACGTTGAGCGTGCGCACTGCCCACTGCGCTTCACTGTCGGTTGAAACCGCATGTCGGTTGGGACTCGTCTCTTGGCCAAGTCGCCGCCGCCTCCAAATTTCCGAGCCTTGGCCTCTTTGGATTCTGCCTGGGAAGGTTGCATGATTCATTCGGACAAACAAGATGTTGTAAAAAATGATCTTGCCAGGTTGTGCCATCCACTGTGATGCAAACGGTCACAAGTGGATCAGAGTGAATGTTAAAAAGAATCGAGTGGTTGCTCCCAACAATGCTCGTTGGCAGATGAAACCAGCGCTGAAACCAGCTCGGCCAAACGACTTGGGCCCCAAACGGGACGAGGCGCTTTCGGGCCGTCTTCGCCCGCTCCGACGCTCGCGCGAGCGACCGAAACTCGGCCTCCAAGAGCTCCGGGTCAATGACCTCCCCTGGCTTCGAGCTGGGCCTCGGTCGAGCGGAGATATGGTCGCCGGTCGGTCGGTCCGTAGGAGATGGTGAAGAGACGGTCGAAGTGCTTGGACGAATTTGGAGGACGTCCTTCCATTGAAGGATCCCAATGCTCCAGTCTTTCTGCCCTTGTTTCCTTCGTTTTGTGGCATGTTGTCGTGCACATCCTTTTTGCGCTCAGGCTTTGGTGTTCTGGTATTCGCCCCGTAACTTCTCATAGCGATGCAAGTCCTCGGCAGGCAGCCATTCATGGCTTTCCCGTTCTTTGCGCATTCGCAGCTGGTCGTCCACAAAGAATACGTCTCTCTCTCTCTCTCTCAGACTCTTCGAGCCCCCAACCTCCATAGGCACTGAAGGCTGGAGGTTGGAGAGAGCTTCCTGGAAATGCCTTCGACACCCCAAGACAGTTTTGGACCAGAGGCCCGAGAAACAACAAAAACTCCCCAAACCAGAGAAACGAGCACGTAGCAACATCTGTTCAATATGCATCAATATGCAATGTGCACGTCTGCACCACAAGAGGGACATGCTGAAGCTGCACTAAGAGATCAAGCCATTGAGCTGGTCCACCTAGGGAACGCAACGCCGAACGCACTCGCCTCTGGCCCACACGAACTTGCAACGCCTCCAACATGCTGAAGCAGGACCTGGCGAGCCGATCTGGGCAGGTCAGAGTGCGTTCTGCCAGCGCAAACCTCAATCAGTTTCAGCTGGATGTTAGTCGGCGTCAGTAAAGCGTTTGGGAACAAAAACGCTGTTGGTCCGCAGGTCGCCCAGCGCTTCGTGTTTTTCTTAAGATTGCTCCCTGGCCCTGTCTAATGATTCTCATCTGGCTAACCTCGGTTCCTCGCATTTGGCATCCTGAAGGACCGCCATTTGGCCAAGGTGCATGATCTTCAGCGCAACACCCTCACAGGTGGCAAGCCATCCTTAAGATCAGGCTGGATTTAAAGACAGGCCAGTAAGGCGCTAAGGCGGCAGCCTTATAGTACTTTATAGACGTGAGTCATTGGAAACAGCCTGAAATGGCAGAGGTTCCCTCCTTCAGAACTCCCAGAATCATCTGGCCCGTTTGTTCCCTTCAAAGGAGTTTCTCTCCCACCCAGAGCGGCCGAATCAGCCCCGATCTTATGCCCAGCATTGGCTTTTGTTACGGTCAAAGGTCAAAGTGAATGAGGAGGAGTACCCCAGAGGTTAGGAAGTTATCACTTCAATATGTATATATAATTATATATATATATATATGTGTGTGTGATCCCATAAACAACCCCCCAGGATTGAAGTTTTTTGAATACTGAGCAAGGTCAAATTGCCGAGAGTTGCATTCGTTCAGCTTCTGCAAGGCTCAACGGCACAGCTGCATACAGCTGCCACTGATCCAAGTCAAAAAGCATCGTTTGCTTGCAACACTCCTGATGCCACACATAGGTGCTTCACTACTCCCACGAGGCTCTTCCGGCCCCTTCCAATTCCAGCGAGGCTCTTTGCGCAATGTCTGCTGCAGAGTCTTGGCTCAAGAGAAGCCCAACCGCAGCACTGACGTCACGAAAACCTGAGCTACAAGGCAGGCGGCCTCTGCGCCCCATATGCTCATGATGCCGAATGCCTGCCCAGAAGCTACGATCAAGAGTGCCAGTATGATGAGCCAGCACAAAAGCCTGCTTGGCCGAAAGCGATAGACTCTCGACCCAAACACGAACTTCCCCTGTGTTTCCCTACTGCCTACAGACCAAAAGTCCGCCCACCCCAGGTTTCGCCACCTCGCACTGCTGGCTACCATACAGCACCAAGCCAGAGGTCTTCGGCTTCGCCTCAGAGGAAGGACCGGTCCTTCCGTTCGGATGTCTGGCGATCGATGGGCATCGACCGCCCGGTCGAACTGAGTTGGCTGGTGGCATTTCTGGTGACCTCAGGCTGACCTCAGGTAAGCTGGTCTGGTTTTCTCGTGCGCCGCGGGCTTGGAACCAACTCTCACCCTGCTTGACGCTGTTTTGACGTGGACATCCTGTTGGAAGCAAATCTGAGAAGGACAGCAGTCCTTCTGAGGCCTTTCTCCTTTCATGTCAGGCTGACTCTGCTGAGTCCTGGACACTGGACGATGCATCGCGGGAAGCTGGGAACCTCATGCCATCAGATCTACGACAAAAAGGACACAAAACCCGCCCCCCGCCCAAAGACAAAGTGAATTGTGTCACAAGCTTTGGACCTGTGCCAATGACATCGAAGAACCCTTGTGCCAAGCTGCACTACCTCAAGCTGGGCTGACATCTTCTGCTCCGTCCATAGGCCCTGGAAGGTCCGAGTCTTCCCTGAAGAGCTTGAGAGATGCACCTTCCAGCACAAAACTGTTGCTTCAACATCTTCAGGTCGTCTATGAGCCTATGACGTCTCTCATCTTCTCGTCTGTTTCTGCCTCCTTCTTCATGTTGCTTCGTTTAGCCCAAAACACCCAGAAATCTCCTCAAAGACGCGCGCCTCCCAAGCGTCCAAAAACAGCAGCAGGCTGCTGATCTGCACCTTCAGCCCCTCGGCCAACTCGTGCAGCTGCGCGATGTGCTCCCTTTGAGCGATCGCATAGGCATCTGCACAGAGCACAGAGACATCGGCCCCTGTCAAGTTCGTGGGGCACTGCTCCTTAGTCAGGAGGACGAGCCAAAGCAGTTATGAGCTCATGTGGGGGCATGGCACGCCCTCCATCAACAAAACCACACACCCAAAGAAGAAGGAGAGGAGAGACATCAAGAGTGAAAGTATATATGAAGAGACCTGAAAAGACTCCAACCTTCCACAAATTACAAGCGCCTCAAAAATCATCAAAGCGCCCTTTGGTGAAGACAGCGTTTCCCACCAAGGCTCCGCCACACACTCCAGCAACCCTTCCCGCTCGCTCGCCAGGACGAACTTCCGGGAGATCGCCTTCAGCAGGGGCCGCTTGTCCGAGGCCACGCCCAGGTAGACCATCCGGTCCAAGCGCCCCGGCCGCAGCAGGGATCGGTCCAACAGGTCCGGACGGTTCGTGGCGCCCACCATGAAGACCTTAGAAACGCGGACCGCGGACGCAGGGCGTTCGGAGCCGAAGAGGCGGGAGGGGCGGGAGGTTGGGCCCACCAAAAGGCTCACTTCAAATTTCAAATCCCTCCCACCTTCCTAGAAAAAATGCCCCCCAAAACAGGCACCCCTTTCCACCCTTCACACTTACCCCACCCCCCCGCCGCAAGCCCGGCACCCCACCCCCCCACGCCGCGCTGCCGTGGCGGGCATGGTGTCCAGCTCGGTGACCAGCTGCGAGACCACGCGGTCCATGACGCCGCCCGAGTCGCTGCCGCGGCCGCGCGCGGGCGCCAGGGAGTCCAACTCGTCGAAGAACAAGACGCAGGGCGCCAGGTCACGGGCGTTCTGGAAGAGCGACCTCCATGGGGGATTGGGGAGTTCGGGCGGAGTCGGAAGTGGGCGAGGTGAGAGGTGGGCAATTGGCTGGTTTGCCATTCTTCATTCCAATGGGGATGTCATTCTGGTTGATCCCAATGCCACAAAGGGGAAGTGAAAAGGGTCCAAGTTGAGTTGGACCTCAGGGTGCTCACCTGAGAGCTGAGCGTGCCGGTCGAGTTGTCCCTGTGCGGGGGTTGCTGTCTGAATGAGGAAATTTGCAAATAGGTTGGAGTGGGAAAGTATCCCAAGTGAAGCATCAGGCACATGACCTCAACTAGTGGCAAGTTGGGGTTTGGCAGCTCTGCCGTTGCTTTGCTGCCTTTCTACCCCCTGAAGACCACCCACTCAGCCTCTGCCACTGCCCGGGCCTCACGTTCTTCTCGCTTTCACCGATGTACATCGACAAGAGCTCGGGTCCCTTCACACTCAAGAAGTGAACCTTGCATTCGGTGGCCACCGCCTTCGCCAATAAGGTCTTCCCGGTGCCCGGAGGTCCAAAGAGGAGAACTCCACTGCGGACCTGGTCGGGCGACGGCCCGTGAACTCGCGGGGGAAACCGTGCGACACCGAACGACCCATGTCACACGAGCGACCGCAGGGGACCAAAAGCAAAAAGACGGGCCTTTTGCCCGGCAAACATGTCTCCCTGGGAGAGAGGCAGCGTGATACAGTTGATGATCTCGTCCTTGGCATCTTGAAGTCCGCCAACATCAGCCCATTGGACCTGGCATTAAAAAATCACTGGAAATCGGCATGTCCGACCCAAACTCAGTGAAAGAAAATATATAGATATACACATATATAGATGTAGACTATTGCACCGCTATGCCCTTGCCATCTCATGATGAGTCTTCGATCTGTGATCCATTCAGAAGAGCGGGATGTTCTTGATTCAGATGAGTGTACTGCACGGAGCCCTCTCTCCAAAACAAAGCTAAAATTCAGAATAGCTACTAAAAGCTGACATTTGCATCGCAGCATATTTTATTCCGTCTTCGGGTTCGCTCAGCAGGTCAGATCGCGCCTTGGACGCCAGGGTCACCGCGACCTTGGAGCCGCCCTGCAGGCGCTTCACCGACTGCTCGATGGCATCTTGGAGGTCCGACGGCGCTGGCAGCTCCAGGGCACATGAGGGAAAGGACATCAAGACCTGGCGCGGCCGAGTCGGTAGATTCGATGTCTGAAGAAGGGTGTCGGCGGAGGTCTGGAGGTGTCCGTTTTGAGCTTCGACACGTTTTCTTCAAATCGATGAAGGCTTCAACCTTGTGGTCCTAGATTTGGATGCGGTTGGTCAACCCCAGCCTCGGTGCAAACCGATCGCACATCACTGTAAGATAGACCAGCGGTGAGCTTGGCCATGGTCTCGCCAAGGCCTGGATTTGACAGCGGGGACTGAACACGAAGCCACAAAGCATCATCATTAATTATATTATGTTCCCCTCACCCACACAAACACCCACACAAACACAAATGCATACAATCACCAAAAAGAATCTGAATTGTAAGCCATCCCCAGCGGCTGTGTGCTTCGTGACCATCTCCATTGGGCACGTCCTTCACGTCCTTCACGTGTCGCTTTGAATGCCCGTCTCGGCCTGTGGCCGAGAAGAAGCGAGAGATCACGGCAAGGCGATGGGCCTCACTGGGCCGCGGCAACTCCATCTCAAGGCGGAAGACCTGTCTCAAGGGCCCGCCAATCTCCTCCAAATCCTCACAGGACCCCGCCAGCAACACCAAGGGATGGGCCGAACGGCTCCTCACTGCTTGAAGCGCAGCATTCAAGGACTCTTCCACGCGGCGGTGTTGCAGGAGCGTCGCAGCGGGTGATGTGGAGGGCCCGGCTTTCGACAAGGCATGGAGCCGGCGGAAGCATAGCACACAAGGAGACAGCTTTGAAGCATCTTGAGTAAGCTCCTGTACTCGTGCTTCTGCACCAGCACCACCAGCCAATTCAGAGCAGTTCACCTCCAGCAAATGGAGGCCCAAACGTTCACAGACTGAGTGCCACAAGATTCGCTTTCCACAGCCTCTGGGCCCGATCGAGAGCACCGATGGCGCTGCCTCCTGGCAACCGTGGAGCTGCCAGGACCGAACCACTGGAGCCAAGATTCCAAGCAAACGTTCCATCGGCTGCCGCAGTGATGGCAAGATGGGCGGAGGAGATTCACAGAAGAGGTGGCTGCTGATGTAAGGGACGCCCCGTGCATTGCAACTGCCCTTCAGAATGATCTCAGCACTTTGGTTGATCTGGAAGCTTTGGTTGCCATGCCGACTTTCGCTGGCACCCTCCACCATCTCCACCTTAAAGCTGAACAGCTGGCAGAAAGCGAAGCCGTGAAGGGGGTCCACGGCCGAACCTTCATGAAAACCTAAATGTGGAGCTATCTGGTAGACCTCCTCCTCCTCCATCGCTTCAAAGTCTGGAAAGACTCGGCTCTCCATGGGGTTCTGGGCTACTTCGATCGCCCGCAGCGGCTCGGACAAGCCATGCAGCGGCACTGAGAAGACCTCCCCCAGCCGCAAGGTCCGGGGCACGTGGAAGAAGCTCTTTAGCGCGGCCTCCCGATAGGATGAGCTGGACGAGCTGGACGTGGCGACCGAGGATAACAGCAAGCGGCGCCCCTCCGGGGGCCGGAGGCCCTCCTGCCAGGCCAAGGAGATCTCGCTGCGGCCCACAGTCGCACCCAGGAGCTCCAACAAACCAGCAGGGAGGTGAATTAAAGGCAGCTCCTGCCGGTCACAATGAGTTGAGACAAGACCGAAACCACAATGGAACAGCTGAAGCACTTCAACAAAACATGTGAGCCCTTGGCCCACAAATTTGAAAAAACACAACAATGCTGTTGCTGCTGTTGCACATCTTCTCCTTTCTCTGCCATGGTGGCGGGGTGAGCGCCACCACCTCCTTGCTGTCCACCAGTTTGACCCAGCAGGGCGAGTCCAAGGCCAGCGCTGGGAGGATCAAAAGCCAATCACCCAGCTTCGCCCCGAAGATCTCCAAAATCTCCTCCCCAATCGACAAGCGATGCACCAGGTGCATCACTCGACAAGGATAAAAGAATTTGCAAAACCTCTTTCATAGCAGCTAGCTAGCAGCAACAATGCCAGGGGGGCTGTCGTCCACACATCCATAAACACATGTCCGAGCATGGGAGTTGCTCAAGAGGCACCCGCTCCATTTGGTGACCCGAAGAAAGTATTTGATAATGATAACTCTTCGATTCTACGACCTATTTATTGATATGTGTTGCTTGATACCCCCCACCCACCCGACTCACACGCCGTGGGGGGGCTTTTCCCCCCACCATGGCCTCTGACGCGCACGCCTGAGCCGAAGCGTCGGACCAAGGGAGACCTTGAAAGGAAGGGGAGGAACTACCAGGCGAGTGATCTTCCAGCAGTGCGCGTGCAAGGCACGGTTTCTTGGATTTGCGCTTGCCAGGCCTTGTCTCAAGAAAGTGGTGATGGTAGATGCAACAACCCACTTGCATCCATACCCTGGGGTCTCCCTTCGAACCCAAATGATTGTGCGACGACCAAACAATCCCACTTTATCCAGTTGGCGAAGTGGGACGTGAAGGTGGCCTTCAGCGATGGCATTGACAATTACAGCCGGCTTTCCCCCAAGCCGCCTCGTCCTCAACCCTAAGTTGCATACATGCGGCCCCAAACCGGATCTGCACCCATCTCTTGTGCCAGACGGTTCTTTTTGTGTATGACTCAGGCGTTTTTCCTTGACATGAGGCACCCCTGTTGGTAGAGAATATTATCTTCGATTTCCACGCTTGCATCATCCACTCCAAGCCCTGTTTGAGAGGCTTCTTGGCTTCCCCCAGCCTCATGGAAGGTGTCTCTGTGGTGGTCGCCACGGCTTACGGCTGCAGCACTGGCGACCGGATGCAGCAAGCGTCCCGCGGTGGCTTTCGCATACCTGGCGCCCAACAAAAATGTGTGCCTCTCTACAGTCCAATCGGGGAAAACACACCTAAGCACAATGACGAGCTGAAAAGGGACCACATGACGCCAGGGCTAGTTCACCTGCGCGCGCATGAATCATCAAGAACAAACCTAGCTGCTAGACCTAGCTGGCCCTAGCTGTGTGGCGCCACCCACATCTTCAACGATGCTGTGAATGTCGGAGCGAAAGTACTTGGTCAACAAACACCAAAAAATGCATGCGCCACACACCACAGCAGGCTGCTCAACCAGCATAAGCGAAGAAAGGACTCAGTCAGTCCAAACACTCCAGCTGCAGCTGGGTGAGCAAACAGGTTTCTTCGCAACTCGTGCTCGCAGCGCGAAGGCAGCTGTTCCGTACTGGCTGCGTGGCATCCAGTATTTTTGATTGGTTCAGCATGAAGGCGTTGAAACCGTCACCAAGCTGTGGATACAAAGCATAGGGGCATTTCGGTCACATACAGAGGCACACATGTCCCTCTAAAGCGCTCTCACACCCACATCTGAGGTCTGACAAGTGTGTACAGGATTGCGTCGTTTGTTTGGCGACTGTGACTTCCCCCTTCACGGTCCACGGTGGCCGATGCGCATCCAGCCTGCACTGCTGAAAAGCTGCATTATCCATGACAGCTCCAAACAAATGCCATGGCTCAGTTAAGCCCTCTGGCCCCAAAAAATGCTGCAGTTCCACCCCATTATCGTCAGTCTTTCAGTCCTGCGTTCCACTGCCCCAACTAACAGTTGCTTACATCAGTATCCACGGCAGAGAAGCGCACCAGAACTGCAGCAAGCCAAACACTGATCTGTCTTAAGAGGAAACATTCACTGGCATGATTCCGACATGATGTCCATAACTAGCCTATCTCTCGTTCACTGTTCATCTGACTTTGCATTCAATAGTTCTTTTTTGGGAACCATGTCCACATGCCACCAGCCTCGAGCCAAACCCATTGTCTCCCAACGTCCCCTCGCATTCCTCGCAGTTCGCTCACCGAGCTCAGGACGCAAAGATGCCAACAAGACCAGCCGCCCCTTCCGCGCCCAACACCTGCGACAATTTGCGACCCGAAACGACGAGGCGACGCTCCAGCAGCCTGCCGCCCGGAGCGATGCGCACGCGCCTCCGTGGAGGCATAATAGCGCCAAGCAGAACCTCGTCGACACACAAACACCTAAAGAAATGCGAAGAGATGTTTGGGCGGCAAGGTGGCGCACCCCCGGCTGGAGCAGTGGGTTTGGGCGCCGTAGGCCTTAGTTGTGCGACATTGCACGGAGTCTGTCACAAGACACGTCCAACTATTTCATTGATGTTGACACGGAAATTTGGAAGATCTGCATTCCAATTTCCCTGTGCATACTGCACTGTCACTGAGGTCGGGGCTTGCTCATTTTTGCAGGCTGTCTCCCACAGCAGGGTCGGGCACTCACGCCCTTCTGCTACACGCGCATAGCCTATGCCTTACCTAAAAGCTACCTAAGCCAAACCAAAACGGCACAACGTAAGCGTTTGGTGTGAACTTGCCCGACAGAATGGTTCCGTTATCAAAAAGAACACATTAGGTAGTATTCCTGAGCAAACGGCCAAACATTAAAAAGTTAATGCAAAAATGCCGAAAATATGGAAAATTGTGTGGTTTTGATTCGTGTACCCCCTGCAAACCACAAAGCCCATTGAAACCACCATTGCATTGTGCAAGGTACCTATACGGGGGTCCTCCTTACCATTGCGCACGGCCAACTTATATAAACATCGGATGCGACTGTTCGTTCCGCATGCGTTAAACAAAGCTAGGCCATTTTGGGGGGCACGGTTACTTTCATTCGGCGATGACCTATATTCTTACGGGTGAGCAATGTGGTCACAAGAGTGCGCACACACAATACGGAAAGCACTGAGGGGCGATTAAACTGATTTTTTTTGCATTTCAGTTACTCACTGTCTTGCTGAAGGCCCAATGAAGCGCACGGCCACTTCGGATGCTGGCGCAGCAAATGCAAAGGCGGGGCATCTCAATTCTTTGACGAACGAAAAATTTTGTAATGAGCTCATGAGTATGTTCTGGGCTACAAAGTCTGCATTCCTGAGAGCCTGTGGCGTTTGTTTGTTGAGCACTTGTTTGTCCGCCTTTTCTGCAACCCTTTGATCACACATTCCTTGGCGTGCTACAGTGTGTGTCCCTCCAGTCTTGAAATACTTGTGCAGTTACAAACCTCCAACTGAGGTGTCGGAGCGCGTTGGGGGAACCAGTCTTGGCTTGGAACTGTGAGCCACCCACTGTTCATTACAACTATAAAGCCTGCACAAACAACTAACAGGACATCGAACACCTGATCCAATTTTTTCGTACACTCACACCCCTACAGGGAAGGAGAGGGGGAGGGAAAAAATGTGTGTATGACACGACATGACATGACATGATATGACTTGACATGACATTACATGATATGATATGACTTGAGGCCAGGGTGAGGAGGTCGAAAGCTAGCCGAATCGCACCGGATGTACTATTTACATAGTCGGCAAAGCATGTAGTGTCGACATGTTTTGGGAGAAAGGTTGTTATGTACATACTTTGTGCTAAAGAATGTAAATGTGACATCGCCGACTGGGAAGGGTACATTGGAACAACCCGGGTGCACTCGTTGGCGGGCACGAAGGTGCGATCGGCAAATCTGGAGGGTAAATTTGCCCCCCGTTATGTATGCCTTGAGTCGGAAGGAAGGGTAAGCATTTCTGGCATCACAAGGGCTGTACATACACTAGGGCGTCCGTAGTGTAGGATAAGCACTGGTAAAAGGTATAAGGAATAGAGTGTCTTGAGGAAATAGCCGGTGTATGACTGAATCCTGTTGCCGTGCCCGTGCTCCTAGAGCGGACGCCGTTGGACGCGTTTCGCACGACTATTTCCCAAAGGCAATGACAAATGCGCACACGGGATTAAGTACCTTGATTAATCAAGCCCCCCTGGAGCCTCCAAGGCTAAACGAATTCAAGCCTGCAGCTTCCCCTCTTAAGCAAGCTCCGCCCCCCAAAAAAAGACTGCACATGGAATGTTAAACAGGACGAACTACCAGCATCCAACACCTTTTGGTCAGCATCATTTGTTCCACAATTTGTTGATGTGTTTTTTTCTAAAAATGTATCACATTCTATCACCTATAGTTCACAAAAGGTGCCGCTCTCAAGGCTTCAGTGTTCATACCAAATCATATCATTTCAGCATCCATCATCAGGTCATCACCTCTATTAAGGGATGTGGCCTCCAACCCCTCCAACCTCAAACCTTGTTGACCTTGTTGACCTTGAAGGTGGAGGTTTGTCCGGTGTGTGCCTTGCATGAAACAAATGACATCCCCAATCGTATTTAATCCATCATCGGTTGCCGTAGCATTTCCGTGGTCTTACCCTTGCACGTCGTGAGCTCGAACTCGACGGCCGCTCATGCATGACAGGGTCGCAGCCTCGGCGTTTTCAATTCAGTCTCACCCCCCGAAACCCCTGACTCCGAAAATGTTGGTTTTTCCGACTTGTGGCACCACCAATGGCAACATGTATCCCTCGACGCGGTACAAACAGTATAAGCATGGCCCGTGTACAGAACAAAACTGGCGCACCAACCTCGCGCGCACGGGTTTGTACTGAATGGTGTTGGTCAAGGCCCGACGACTGTTTTGTTCATTTTGTTTGGCACCCGAAACCTGTCACAAATTGAAATTGTCAGGTGCTTCGTCAGGGTTTGTCTTTTTTTGGTGCCCGCGTTTGTTTCGTGCCGCCACGAGCCTTTGGAGACAAACCGTGGAGGCTTTCTGCTTAGACTTGCAAAATGGCCTGCCCGCTTGTTTGGTTTACGATTTGCTGGTGATACTCTAATTTTTGGAGCTTCACCACGTACGTCGCTCCATCTACTTGATGATCTGCTTGAGTCTTTGGTAAGCGTCCGCACGCTTCAAAAACTGTGCTCACGTTTCCTTCAAGACTGGTTCAGGCCACAAGGGTCCACCAGTCATCTTTGCATCAACGGACGTGACATGAACAAACACCATCCTGAAGGCATAAGCGCGCAGATGTATAGAAATGGGCGTGGGTGGGGGCCTTGTGCGACCGCCCAAAGTGATCCGAATAGACCACCTGGGAGGTCAACGTGCCGTCGTATAAGCCTGACCCACGGCCCAAACACGATGATATTCCACCAGCGCACAGCGGTGGAAGCTGCCATTGTGCCAGGCCTTGGTGGCACAAAGTCTAACTTTTTTGCCTGCTTCTTCACCACTCTCAAGCACTCAAATTCTGGTGTCAAGCACCTGGCCGGCTTGAAAGCTGCGCGTGCGGTTGTGATCGCGACCATCATGCGGGTATCCGATTACGCGTTCCATCCCTTACCTGGCTTTCTTCCGTGGCCACAAAGGTGTTTGACATCCATTGTGTGAGTTTTGGGGGCCTGTTCAGGTAGCAACTCTTGGTTGATTGCGGCGTGTGCGTTTTTTTTCCTCCCGATCGGTGCCCCCGGCTTGTTGTACTCTGATGTATATTGCTCTGTTGTTGTTGTTGTTGTTGCTGTTGCTGTTGCTGTTGCTGTTGCTGTTGCTGTTGCTGTTGGTGTTGTTGCTGCTGCTGTGGGGTTGTGGGTTTGTGGGTTGGTGACTTTGAGGGTGGGTGTTGGTGTGGGTGGGTGGGTGTTGGTGTGGGTGGGTGGGTGTTGGTGTGGGTGGGTGGGTGTTGGTGTTGGTGTTGGTGTTGGTGTTGATGTTGGTCTTGGTGTTGGTGTTGGTGTTGCTGTTGCTGTTGCTGTTGCTGTTGCTGTTGGTGTTGGTGTTGTTGGTGTTGGTGTGGGTGTGGGTGTGGGTGTGGGTGTTGTTGTTGTTGTTGTTGTTGTTGTTGTTGTTGCTGGTGGTGGTGTTGGTGTTGGTGTTGGTGTTGGTGTTGGTGTTGTTGTTGTTGTTGTTGTTGTTGTCGTTGTTGTTGTTGTTAAGCTTTTCTAGCCAGGGCCTGAATAGAATGGGCCTTCGGTGCGTGGGAGGGCACATGGCGGGCTCTCGTGGGCGCTGACGCGCGCCTGCTGGCCGCTGGAAGCTGGCTGATGCGCTTCCTGCGCTGCTGGCTTTTCCTCGTGCCTCTTGGAGTTTCGTTGCCCCTTAATTGCACTGGACGCCATCCTCTTGCTTCGGCTAGTCTGCGGTCCCAATTCCGCAGCACATTCGAACGTATCTCCACCTCCACGCGCCGCACTTCGAATGTGAAAAGCGAGGGTTGTCAGCCCGTCATGGGGCTGGCTGGAGTGACTTTAGCTAGGATTCAGTATGAACTTGCTGGCATAGTCACGAATGCACATGACCACGCATCTTCCCCGTATAAGATCCTCAAAGGGGATTCTAATAAGAAACGTAGCTTGAGACGTGCACAGAAGAGAGCACTTGATTGGGGGTACACATGGTATCATGGACGCATTGTCACGCCTGCCTCACTTGGATGTCATCGTTGTCACACCGCCCCAGTCCCTGCTTCAGCCATCAAGCAGTGCCCATCTTCGAACTCCGACACAGCTCAGGAATCGTTGCGGAGTTTTGACTTGGAACACGAGTGGCCTTACCTCGGCTGCCCTTGCAGAAGCCCTTCAGTGGGCTGAG